GATACAAAATCATATACAGTGCAGTGCATTTACATTCAACAGTTGTTTATATACATGTATAGCACAGATTAGCTTAGATTTATGTGTCAGGAAAGCGCATACAAATAATCACCATAACGAACTGTAGGAAACTGATGACAAAATTCACTTTTGAAATGAATTGGAGAATGTAAATATCAATGGGAATTATTTCTGCACCTTATGTGCTATACATCACACAGCTGTGCATTTACAATTTTAACATGCACCGTATTGTACACAGAATAATCAGTCAGAGATTCATGAAACTGAATTCTGCTTAGACAGCAAATTGTGATCAGCTGTAAATGAAATGATTTTCCCCTTTAGACACAGAATAATCAGGGGGTGTTTTTTCTATTTAAATTTTAAAAACTTGTATAACTTGCTTATAGTCGCAGTAAAATGTAACTAGGTAAATGAAGTTAAAATGTTCATGAGTTTATAATGCATGCATGCAAATTATTATATTATGTTACAAGAACTTTTAGCAAGGATTCAATTTTGGCATTATTTGCGAGGGTTTTGAGATCGCTAAAATTGAATATCGCTAACAATTTATACTGTATCGGTAGTTATAGCTATCTTTCTTGACATTATAAAATCGCTAAAATTATTTCTCGCAAAAAATATACATCAGTTTTGGGGGATAAATCGCTAAATTAGCGTCTCCCTAAAAATTCCACTTATACGGTATTTCTATGATGATAATCGTAAATTGAAATCGTAGAAATAAAGTTTAATTAACTAAGACTCTTAGAGAACAGACTTACACCTGTTATTTGAGGAATGAAAACATTGATAAGAAACGAGGAAGCAGGATTTAATTACTGTTCTTGTATTTCTGTTTTGAAGATTAACAAGTTATGAAATAATATATTTCAATAATGCATATTTAACAAATCGCGTAACTCCTCATTGCCTAACATTAAAGTTGGACATCGAGTTCCTTTCAAAGAAATCTTAGAGAAAATTCACATTTGTAATGCACAAAATGTTAATCGGCTACAGAAAACTTCTCTATGGCATTCATGAATATAGTTGGACGATTCATACTTGAATAATTATAATACGGCCCGAAGAGAAACCCTGGTTTGATTCTGCATTGCATAAAACTCTTTGTATTAAAAATAAACTTATATTAGACTTAGACTTGTATAATACAAAGCCAGAACAGAATTTTTAAATATTTTTTTTTACAATTTGAGAAAATCCACATTCTAGATACACATGTATTATTATGGGGGGGTTGATTCATGAGTGCTTCAGAGAATGAACGTCTCTTTTCTTTTGTTCAAACATTTATTTAACATTCTGGTAGATTTCCTTGTAAGCATTAATTAATGTATATATATATATATATATATATACAATAAAGTAATAAATTTTGCAAATAAACTCCGAAATGGGTGCACCAGAGTTCTACTTACTCCTCTAAGAATACACACGATACAAGATGATGTCCGTAAACTATATTTAGATTTCACTTGCATTGTAAGTATCGTACATTAAATCAAAAGTCTACTTCTATTTTCTATAAACAGCCATGAAATAGCAAAAACGTGTGTACGGTGGCGTTTCCGGTTGGCGGATCTAAGTTAATGGCAATTTTTAATGAAACTGACAACAAGCAATCGTTTATTTATTTCATTAAACGTCATTACTGAATTATTCAATCAAAACTTGATTTAAATGATATAAAAGAAATAAGTTGTAATAACTGATTAAAAAGGAAAATGTGCAAATTATTTTCGTCATTCACCGATCGTAATATTGACGGAATCTTCTAGAACATCATATAGCATCGAGCCAGATGTTAAAAAGAAAAACGAAGCGATTATAGCTGCTTTAACATAAAGAAAAGCTTTTGTGTGAATGGTCATTGAATGAAATATATGGCGATAACGAACAGTATTCAAGCTCAAAAGTCCATTAAACAATACAAAATAGGAGCAGAGCAAACACGGACCTCTAAACAGGTGGGATCAGGTGCCATGGAGGAGTGAGCATCCCCTGCCGACCGGTCACACCCGCCGTGTGCTCCTTGTCATGATCGGGAAATAACGGAAAAATCCGTCGACAATTCATTGTGTTAATAATGGCCTAACAATTAGTATGAAAAACGTCAGTCAGCATTTGACTCAATGATAAATTGCATTTGCTGACAAGGTCATTGTATCGACCATAGAACTTACGAAATGATGACTTTAAACGAGACAGCTGATATTCTTGTTTCATCAACTTGTTTGTCAATAATTTACCTCGTTTTAGAAATTGTACATACGTAGAGCATGCTCTTGCGTATCGAATCAACTGAGAGATATATACCCCGTATGCAGGTGATGAAGGTATATTGCTGCATAAGTAAGGGAAGTTGACGATTGAAAAGTTAAAATGATCACGTTTATCATAAAGCTTGGTTATTAGATTACCATTAACGTCTTTTTCAAGTAAAATATCCAAATATGAAACAGATATGTCAGACTCTGTGGTATCTTTTCTCTCAAGCTCACCAGGATAGATCGTATCGACATAAGAATGAAAATAGCCATTGTTAATTGACAATACATCGTCGATATATCTAAATGTCGAGTTGAAGGCCACAGCAAGTGTTTTCTTCTTTTCACGTACAAGATTTTGGACAAATTCTGCTTCATATGAATACAAAAAAAGGTCTGCTAATAACTGGGCGCAATTTGGTACCCATGGGAATTCCAATAGATTGTTGGAAGACCTCGTCTCCAAAAACCACATAGATATTGTCAATCAGAAACTCAAACATCTTTTTAATGTCAACTTCAGAGTACTTGTGTGTACAATCGGAATGTTTTTTGCAAATGACCAATGAAAAGGTAAGTATATTTACGAGTTCCATTTTTATTGAAAAAGCAGCTGTAAATTATATCAAAAAGCCTGGACTTTAATTCATTGTGGTGAATGGTTGTGTATAAAGAAGAAAAGTCGTAAGATTTTAAGCTGTTGATTTTGGTAAAATCTTGTGATTTCAAATTTTACAAAAGTTCCTTGGAATTTTAAATATCCACATCTGATTTACACCACTTCTCGAATAATGGAATAATGGTAAATCATTGATTACACTGTAAGTTGTGAATATATTTATATATCGAAAGACTATTACATATATTTAGTAGATTTTCCTAATAAATTTATCGGTAAAATTTGTATATATATTCCTCACTGAGAGCATCGTGGCAACGAACCCGAAGTACAATTTGTATTTCGTAATGAACTTGCTTACATGAAAAAAGAATATTAATAAATAAGGCATTATTCAAATACAATTATGCTGTAAAATTTAATCAATACATTTCAGTTTTTTTCTGAATACAGTCTTCAGTATCAAATACTCGGCCTATTCCAGTGGCGGATTCAGGAATCTTGAAAAGATGGGGGTGGGGGGGGGGTGGGGGGGCAACCAGTTTGGGGTTGGAGTAGGGCCCACGGACACACCAAAAAAAAATGATTTATTAAATTTTATGTATATTTTCGACACAAAATGGGAGGGGGATGGGCCCCCTCTCTAAATTCGCCAGTGTATTCATAGGGCGTTATATAAAAGCTAATTTTTTCACAGGTACTTAGGCCTTGGATTATAAATATGTATGTACCTTATTGATATGTAAAAGAAAGGTAAGGTACAGTTTTTATATATCAATAAGGTACATATATATTTATAAACCAAGACCCAAGTACCTGTGAATTTTTACCAAAAATATCTATTTCTCAGTAAAATGTGCATATTCACTGCTTTTATTCTTGACGAAAATGAATAAGAGCATGTGAAGTACAATATCCGTAAAATAGTATATACAATTACCATAACATAGTATATAACAGGTTTCACAATAAACGTCAATGAATGATATTGTTATTTAAGTTTTACAAGGGGGTTGGGGGGTGGGTTAGAGACGTACTTCTACTTCATGAGGGATTTTGAACAAAGTATTTCTTCCTGCTATAACCCTATAGGCTGTCAGTAGAAACTACAATATATATATTATTAGATTTTTTCTGTCGGTAGTGGTACATGTTTAAATTCAATTCCCCGCGCTTGCGCGAGATTTCATCTAGTATTAGCAAAATACAATGATTTGTAAATTTTTGCAAATATTGTATACTTTATATAATTAAAAGTTTTATTTCTAACTATAACAATTTCAATTTGTAATTGACATGTAGGGAGAGGGCGTAATAAGTCTTTAGAACTTGTGCCCAATCCTTTTGTAATTATAAATTACAATAAAATATGTTCAAATCAAAGACAATTCACATTTAATACAAAATATGGTAATGACATTTAAGTAAAGAAGAATGAAATAAAAATGAAAGGGCTAAGTATGCTCATAAATTATTCTTAATTTTCTACTTACTTTGAGCTATTAATTATATCATTATACAAATACTAGTGGTGACATTACAAAAAATATAATATATTTATGCTCATTTGCGCAATGTTTTTGTGAACTGTCAAAGTTTTCTGTTGAATGTTTTGTCATTAAAATATTATATTATAACTTCCTGTGAGTGTTGTGGCCCATGGGTGTGTCTTGTTATGAAACTTTTAAAAATGATTAATATTAAAAGAAATTTCAACATCTATGTTGAAGAATTTGCGTTAAAAAATTAAATTCCTTGCACATAAATTTTTTGTAAACTGATATTTTATAAAGAATGTGTTTTATTAAATTAGGTCCGAAAAGCCCAGTTGAAAAAAAAAAACCTGTATGGAATGATATTAAGGGAAAGTAATGTAAGCTAAACAAATTCAGTATATTTTTACCTGTATTCTCTCCTAGTGTCAATGTGATGACATAATTTGTTTACGTTAGCACGCTCTTTTATAATCATAACATATCGACCATTGTCATCAATCAAATAACTTTTGATTCATACAAGAGAGAAAGTTTTAGTAGAAAAAGAACAAAACAGTCTGTTATTTTTGATTTTAAATAAATATAATTAAATATTGCCAGAACTATGAAGACAAAAGGAGTAATTATTGTTCTTGTGCTAATAGTGATTTTAGAATTACATGTGTGTGGAGTAATGGCGGAGGGCGACGAGGGAAAAAATGTGAAAGTAATTACAGAACGCAGTTTCTTGAGTAAACTGTTTTCAAAATTTATAGGTATGTACATGTATATTGTATCAACCGATTTTGATTGAAAAAATAGTTAAACCACAAAAAAAAAAAACCCTTACATTGAACTGTTAAATCTCTCTCAAGAAGAAAGATAAATAAGTATTATATTTTATTTAACTAGCATATGCAATTAGTTGGCGAAAGTCAAAACGAAAAGGTTTTAAATAATGTTGTCAAATTGTGAAACATTTTTTTTTATGTTTCTTGAATAATATATTGCATACAGTTGTGAATTTAGTTATTGCGCATGTACATGTAGTATATGTAAATATCAATTAACCACGCCTGTTTTCCAAAATTGGTCAACTCACATTTACCTGCCCGATTTCATGATTCTCTATAAAACATGGGAAGTCCCACAAGGAATGCTCTCCCCCGTGTACTTACAAAGAACGGATGGGAGTTCCTGCTGCGGTCAAGATCATATGTGCGTGCCTGGCTGCTACATTTAGGCCATATATCTGGATAGAGTATGAAAAAAAATGCTTGATATTCCAAGGTATCTATAGCTGCTTGGTAAGCACAACGTTAAAGCTCGTAGCTCTATGTTAATCAAGATAGCCGCTACGATCTTGAACTCACACCTGAGCATTTTGTGCATTTAAAAAACATCATACATGTAATATCTTGTATCTACTCAATCAAGACATGTGTCCTACTCAAAAAGTGTTAAACAGAGGCAGGCTAATGACAGATAAAAAGATGTTACAGGGATTTCAACAACCTCGTTTAAAGTCATAATTTCGTAAATTTTACGTTCGTTATAATGACCTTGTTATCAAATTTAACCTATCGTTAGGTCGTATTCTGTCTGACTTGTTTCATACTAATTGTTAGCCCTTTGTTTTTATACTAAATTTGACTACGGAATGTTCTGTCTACCTGATCAAAACAGAGGGTTCACGACTGGTGTTACCGATCAACAGGGAATGCTTTTTCCTTCTAGACACCTGATCCTACTTTGGAATTTCCAGGGGTCTATGTTTTATGCCCTCTTCACAAAGTTGTATTGTTTATAGATTTTTGGAGATCGATCTGTGTTCGTTATCTGCACTTTTTTTCATTTTCCAATACCTTAATTCTTCCCATATATCCAATGATGAATTTAAATAATGTCGTGTCTTACGAATAATACCAAGGAACTTACAGAACAGATCAAATATCTAGAAATATATACAGATTGTGCAACTCTTGAAGAAAAAGAAGACACCATTGCACAATTAAGTTACATAGTTCCGTATGTATCACTTAGCCTTTTGACATTTAGATGTTCCACCTTCTTCTATCAACAATGTATGCTATCAACTTTTATATCTATTTACTGATATACTTTAGGTAAAGTGCCGAAAAGGAAAATAGGCCGGCAATATGGAATCTACAATACAGGGTCAAGGAGGACGAATAATGCAAGACAACAATGGAAAAGAAGAGGAAAATTGCCTTCAAAAATATAAGAACGAACAGAGCACAATATGCCTGAAGTCTATGATTTCAAAGTGCATAAATACAAGCATAAACGGAAAAATAACATTTCAAATGTGTTTTCTATAATAAACTTTAAGACAACATACAAATTCCGAGTCAAGTCTAAAACATGGTTCATGATCTTAAGTCATGGACAAAATCAACTCTTTACACTCTCAATCCCTGACATTTTCAAATATCCTTGATGGTCAAGACACAACCTAATGTGAACAGCTACCTTATGCCGAGAATGAGTTTCTACTGTTCTAGTATAAGCAAAATAAAGAGCAGATATTTACTTTATTTTGATTCAGATAAATGATTAATTGATTAAAAAACGTTAAAGATATCTTTCAGATTCTTCGTATGAAAACTCATCCCTTTATCATTCCTTTGCAACGAAGTTAGAGGGAATACAGTCGCGCTTTTGTGAGTTCATAAATAACGGACTTCCCTTTGCAGTGCCATTGTTGCATTAATTTCTAAGAAAATTAATATGCATGAACAAATTCCAGACATCCCAGCATTCTGTTTAAATCATATCATATCACTGTCCGTTTTATTTACTTTATTAATTCATAATGTAATAATGGAGAAAATACATTGATTAAAAAGAAAGCAATATTAACCTGATTGAAAGGGTATTACTAGTATGTATCTACGTTTTCAAGATTTTTTATTCTTGAAGATATTTGTACCATGACGCACTTTGCAGTGGTAAAATTTTCCGTTTGAATGAAACGTTAAATGAGCTTTCTTTTGAACATTAGTTGTTACATCATAACACTTCCTTTTCTTTAGAAAGAAAAAAACCCCGGTTTATTGGGAGTTTAACTATGTTCAATCTCCCTTGGTCATCTTGTTCTTTCTATGTAATTTGTATTAATTGTGTTATATATAGGCCGTCAGTGGGTCTTCCGTGTCGGCTAATTTACTTCCATGATATTCAATACAACCTTGCATAAACTTTCACCATAATGTAGTCCATGTCAATCTTCTGAATTAATCTAATTTTGATAATTGACATATAAGTAAATGCAAATTACATTTCATTTCAGTTTATTTGAATATTATATTTTGATCAAATTAATATTGATTTATCGAAACCAAAAAAGATTGAAAATTTTCGTAACTGATCTAATTTGCAATGCAGCGACACCTATAAGCACTGAGAGGGAAATGACAACTATGCGACTAAATGGCGCGAAATATTTGACTACGGCGCGAAACCTCTTTATTGTCTGAGGTAGTGTACAAAAATACTGCATGTAGTTGAGTGTAACATTGAAAATTTTTACTCAAAGAAAACAATTGTCAACCGAGGCGCAGCCGAGGTAAACAATGATTTTCGAGGGGTGAAAATTTTTAATGTTACACTCAACTACGTGCAGTATTTATTATATTATACTGAATGTTTTATACATATAAATATTACAGTGAACCTTGCGCGCATAAATTCTGCGCAGTCAATATTTTTCTGGAATATCACCCGTCGTCAAGCAATGTCGATTGTTGCTATGCTCGAGGACGTTGCTTCATTATTCAGCGGGTAATAGTGTTTTTTAGCAAACATTTCTCGACGAATCAGATTCAACTAATTTACATGAAAGTATAATATTAAAACATACGAGTAGTTCACAAACAATTGTATTTATATTTTTGTAGCCATTAAAATTTGAAATTTCATCAATATGTATTTCATAATACTATAAAAATAAAAGAATAAAAGATTGGCTTGATATGAATGATTGTTCATTTGCTATTGAACTTCAATACGCGTATTGCGACAGTGATCTGTTTTTTGTTTACATCGAAGACAAAAAGAAGCTGGTTGACGTGCACTGAAAGGTGAAGGATAAATTACTAGATTAAGATTTTTTTTGTGTTTTCATTTTGTTTTCATGCTCATTGTTGAGGCATAAAATTTTTAGATATCTCATATATGAAATTTTGGTTAATAGAAATCGAAACAGCCAGGTCTGGCATCCGATTTTTTTTAAGTTTGGAAAACAACAAATCTTAGCTGTTTACGTTAGGTTCATATAACAAACTGAAGTTGCTTTACACATCTATTGTTATTCTCTAAACTTTCAAACAGTTACGTTTTGTCAGACCAGATACATGTACCTTATTTTGTACCCTGAAAAATGAAAACAAATAACAGTTCCAAAATGTCCTTTATTATTTTCAACAGTCTGCTAGTCAATGTCAATTCATATTTACTTCCAAATGATTAACTAACTAACTTACTTTTGTTTTTAGAAAACTTAATGCAATAAAACCATTAGTATGCAAACATTTGAAAGTTGTTTGGATTCAGTTTGTTTCTCAAATTAAGGGTCCTAGGTTGGAATTAAATTTAAATGCATGTGAACAGGAAACATTTTTATATATAAGTATTATTAATCATATGGATTAACTCCATGTTGTGTGGATTTAGATACCCCTCATAGTTCAGGTTTTGCCATATGAATTTATGCCGACACATTTTTTCAAGGGAATATTAAGGGGGAGGGAGGGGGGGGGCAGGGGTTGATTATTATTATTATTATTAAATCTCCGATAAGTGAATTAATTCGATACGCAAGAGCATGCTCTACGTATGTACAATTTCTAAAACGAGGTAAATTATTGACAAACAAGTTGATGAAACAAGAATATCAGCAGTCTCGTTTAAAGTCATCATTTCGTAAGTTCTATGGTCAATACAATGACCTTGTCAGCAAATGCAATTTATCATTGAGTCAAATGCTGACTGACGTTTTTCATACTAATTGTCAGGCCATTATTTATACACTGAATTGTCGACGGATTTTTCCGTTATTTCCCGATCATGTCAAGGAGCACACGGCGGGTGTGACCGGTCGGCAGGGGATGCTCACTCCTCCATGGCACCTGATCCCACCTCTGATGTTTTGGAGGTCCGTGTTTGCTCTGCACCTATTTTGTAATGTTTAATGGACTTTTGAGCTTGAACACTGTTCGTTATCTCCATATATTTCATTAAAGCATTAAAATGTTCCGTAACTAGTCTCCCACACCTTGTACACAATGTTCAACTCCCTTGAGTACTTTCAGTACTTTGATTGTAGGAGCGAGTGGGCAGGGGAACGCCAGTCTACACTGCCCTTGATTGTCGTAAAGAGCCATAGCTGCTGAAGACACGGCTAAGTAAAGAATTTAGGAAATCACCCGTTTCTATTTATAGACATACCCGATCAATCTATTTAATTAATATCATTTGAAGACGTTGTCATTTAACAATAATTCAACATGTTCATTAATCTAATCTCGATACAATATGCTTAGAAAATCAGTAAAAATAAAACAGGTTGGCAAGGATTTGCAAAATTCAATGAAATCGTTTAGAGTCTTTCCCTGAGATATTTTCAAAGTGTAACGATTTTTTAGAAATCCTGATTTATTTAAAAAATATTATTTTAAAAAATTAGTAAAAGCAATAAGGAAAACTTAAAACAGATAAACAAAGAAAAAAAATAAAATGCATAAAAGGAAAATGTTAGGCTCGAACTCGGAATCATCACACTTACGTTCCAGCACTACACCTTGAGATCACAAAAGGAGTTATGATGCGCAGTCATACCCAAATAAAATTATCTAAATGCTGTTTTTCTGGTTAAGGGTGGTCTTTTTAAACAGTTTGCCATCGTTTAAGTAGATACCTCAGCATTTACTATATATTCCATGCAAACCAGATTTTCATATTTATCATATAAGGGGACTATTAACATTACATATCATTACTGTATAATTTGAATTTATACATGTATAAATAAGATTGTATGACAAACTTTTTGTAAAAATGCTTTTAGAAACCAGAGTAGGCAAAAAGCCTATAAAATGCGATATGACTCTTTTCTCACATGCTTAATTTGAACGCCTAGAGAACAGGTATTCCATAAATACAATAACCAATCAGATTGGCAATCTACATAGACATCAGTTTAATATTGTTCTCTCGATACACGTTTGTGATTAACTTCAATAATTGTGTTTTAAAGAAAGGGAGAGTCTCTCACACACACTCTCTCTCAGCTTCATAAAACCCCTATTTCAACCAAATTTGCGTTGCTAGTCTCAGAGATGGAGTAAAAATATTTCGACTTACATTGCTTTCTCAATTCTAAAGAAATGGGCGTGTCATTATGTAAAAATGGACGTTATTCAAAGAAAAATTGTACCACTCCAATGCACATCATTGGTAAAAATAAAAAATAACGATACTAGTACCAGGTAATATCTTTTCAACCAGGTTAAGATTACTTTCTTTTTCATCAATGTCTTTTCTCCATTAACGACTGTGATTGCTTTTTATAGCTTACCTGAGCCAAAGGCTTTTGTAAAATTACCTGATCGAAGTTCTCTGTCGACTATCATAGGCCAGGTAATGTAACTCAGTGAGAGTTTTTATCTAAAAATATCAAGTATGAGACACTGAAATGGAAATTGCATAACATCTGCAGAAAGCAGTTTTTTTGTAAACTGACAATTTTAATGAATGCAATTCTGTAAATTAGTTCGGAAAAACCTAGTTTAAAAAGAGAAACACCTTGTAAAAAGGGCATTTAGCGGAAGATAATGCCTTCAACAATTCCAGTACATTTTTACCTATATCTCTCCTATCCTCATTGTGGCTACATGAACAGACTCTATATCATAAAAATATTGCCCAACTGTCGTATATTTAAGATCATTTTGGATTGCGTGTAAGGAAATTCTTGTCTCAACGAGGACGGGGTGAATACGTTTACATATTTAAATGACAAAAGTAACCAAACAATAAGGATAATGAAGAGGACAAGATTAATTATCATATTGCTAATGATCTTAGCATTAGCTGCAGTAGTGGCCCAGAGCAATGACAGAAACTACATGAGAGTGATTGTAAAACGTAGCTACCTTAGTGAGCAGTTTTCTGAATTTAGGGGTAAGTAATATTCTTATAGCTGATTTTGATTCGAAAAGTGCATGACAGCATACTAAATATTATTGAATTGTGATACCTTTATCACAGAGAAAAATGAATGTAAAGTTTTATACATGTATTTATTGAACTATTACTAATTACGATACTTGGAGAAGGTGAATACAAAAAATGTTTAATAAGAGAAAAATAATGTTAACAATCGCCTTTTATTTGATTTTGGTCAATCTTCACGGACTGATATATCACATTCATATTTGACATTTATTTATTGCAGATATATTATTTGTGAATATAATAAACTTCCGCCTATTTTACGTAGTTTGTAAACTTTCAATTACCCAATTTATTTC